TGAAGTTGTCTTTTTTTCAAAATGGCAGAAATTATTTTTATCTCTACTGTACCAAAATCTGCAAGGTAACATGTAACTTGACCAAGTTTTGGAACTGAGCAAAATAAATTTCTGTAATTAATCCTGTGGGAATGGAGAGAGCCAGTGTCATATTGCCTCCATATGACTTTGAAAGGGCATACCACCCATCTTTCTGCCTTATGTCCAAGTTTTGGATGATGATGATGATGATTTTTTAATTGGAGTCTCACTCTGTCACCCAGGCTGGAGTGCAGTGGCATACTCACAGCCACTACAGCCTTGATCTGCTGGGTTCAGGAGATCCTTCCACCTCAGCCTTCCAAGTAGCTGGAACCACAGAAGCATGCCACTAATATTTTGATTTATTGTAGAGAAGAGATCTCACCAAGTTGCCCAGACTGGTCTCAAACCCATGGGCTCAGGCAATCTTCTCACCTGGTCTCCCAAAGTGCTGGGATTATAGGCATGAGCCACCATGCCCAGCAATTTTTTTTAACAGTAGTAAATATTTATTTGACAAGCAGCATACTAATCGTACATGATACAATAGCCTTGCTGAGGCAAAAAGAAGAGGGAGGGAATAATCCATTTTTTAAAGGAGGAAACTGAATTACTCAAAGAGGAAGAAACTGAGCTGGGAGGAGAAACCCCATTTTAGAAAATTCTAAATCCAAAGCTCATCCCGAAACTTCATGCATTTCTCCTTTTAAATTCCTCTTCTTCTCAACCCCAACATCATCATCATTCTTGTGACATTTTTCCCTTTAAGACTTCCCCTGGAGTTCGCCTAAAGGCAAATGCTTAAAAGAGAGGAGTCCCACTGCTGCCTCCATGCTCCTTGCATCCCCATGGGGCTCCTGGTCTGATCTGAGTCCTTTTAAGTGCCAAGACAACCTCAGATGAATCACATCCTACTAACCTGAGCTAAAGAAAAGCATCAAAATGTCTTCCTCTTTTCAGGACAAAGGACATATTAGATGCCATATTTCAAGAAACCTTAAGTGATGGTTTCTTTTAAGCTTTTCTGTTCTCAGCTACTGTGAGCCACTGTGTCATCTTTCAACAGAGACAGAGTCCACATCAGAGAAACCTACTGTTTATAAACCAGAGTATCTCACTTGGAACACTGTCGTTGACTGATGTTTTCCCTTCCTCAGTAAACGAGATCATTTTCTCTGTGTTGAAGATAGTTGGGTCTGTCTGGTTCCCAGATGAATGGCACGCAATGGACAAATGAGTATTTATTGTATTAAACAGTCAGCCAGGAAACGCTACAAGTGTGGCCTGATAGACCAAATCAATTTCTTCCTTGCAAGGCCATTTATTTTTCTCTTCCACAGACTACTGTGGCCATGGAAACCATCCCACTAGCAGAATGGAGACTAAGGCCAACTCTCCACTTCCTGTACCTACATTTAGTTTGGTTTCGTGGACTAGCAATGCTGACTACGTTGGGCTTTCTTTGGACTCACTGTGATTTTTAACATCGGTTTTCTTCAGGTGATTGGTAGCAGGCACTACACAGGCAAAGGACTAGGAAATGGTTTTGCTTAATGAATTAATCATTAAATATGGAACATGTGTGGGGCTTTTTTCTTTTGAAAAAAATCCAATCAGAGAGGCAACTCTTATATACATGAAACAAACTAGAGAATAAGAAAGTATATTGGGTGTGCAGTTAGAAAAATAGTTCCTCTGAAATCTCCTAGAATTCTGAAGCTAGAAAAAAAAAATTTTAGAACATACACACTGGACATGGTAACTCACACCTGAAATCTCAGCACTTTGGGAGGCCAAGTCAGGAGAATTATTTATGACCAGGAGTTTGAGACCAGCCTGGGCCACATAGCAAGACCCTCATTGTATCTACAAAATTTTTTTTTAAATTAGCCTGATGTGGTGGCGCATGTCTGTAGTCCCAACTACTCAGAAGGCAGAGGTTGGAAGACCAATTGATCCCAAGAGTGACAGGGAGGTTACAGTGAACTGTGATCACTCCACTGTACTTCTGCCTGGGCAACAGAGCAAGATTCTGTTTCTAAGGAAAAAAATAATTTGACAATCCCTAATTCAGGGTCTCTCAAATTGTTTTTCGCAAGATGTAGCAACAACAACAACAATAAACATGCAGTGCATAAGTATGTGCTAAGTCCTTTTTCAAGCAACATCCCATTTAATCTTCCTGGAAACTCTGTGAGGTATGTTGGATTCCTGTTGTCCCCATGACACAGATCAGGAACCTGAGACACAAGAAGACCAGTTACTTACCCAAGTATAGCAGAAGAAAGGGACAAACCAGGAGGACTAAAACCCAGACCTGCCTGGCCTCAACACCTGGGTTTCCAAACTGGAAATAGCTGCTAGCTCTTCACCTTTCTCCCTGCTCCTGGTGCAGGCCAGCATGTTCAAGGCTTGGAAGCCTCTGCACTTCTAGCACTCACCATTTTCATTTGAGCATGTCATCCTCCCTCCCACCCCCATTCTGTAACATCTCAAAAAATGAGTATCCTATGGGATGGAATTGAATAACCCCTATCCAGGCCATTTTTCTCATTTTACGGAGAAGAAACTCAAGCTAGGCAAGGAAATGACTTGTCTCTAGTTGCACAGCTAATAAATGCCAGAGTTGGCACCATTAGGCCAGTCCCTCACACCGCAGGCCAGCAGCGCTCTGCTGTGAGGCCTTACATCACTATTTCTAAACCAAACCCTGAGCCAGCAGACAGAATTGCAGCTCCATTCCCCAGGCCAAGCGTCAGAACTAATCCTCTTGTAGAATGATGGTTAAATCAGCCTCATTAGAAGGACAATAGTGCTGGAGCATGCACAGTGCTCTGCCACTTTCGAAAGGCTTCCACATATCTCTTCAGCTTCCAGGCCTCTGGTTATATCTGAAACGGTCCAACAATGAAGACTTATTCACAAATTGTATACCTCCCAAGATAAACTTTGACTCACTCGAGTATTAAGCGAGGGAAGATCACTATATTTCAAGTTGAATTGAAGGCGTCAGGGAGAGGTGGAAATTAGCAAGGTTATAGCCAATGGCTTCAGAGAGCAGAGTTCTGCCATGGGTGAAAGCTCCCCAGTTTAGGAGGATGAGTTGGCAGTGGGTGCTCTCTTCACTTGCACTTTTGACATGAATTTAGCATGAAACAGACACAAATATAAAACTGCTTCCCTCTATGGGAACATGACTGACTCCTACTCCCCAAAACTATGTGTATGTGTTAAACAAACAAAACAGCAGTGTGAGAAGACATGGGGTAAACAGCAGTCACCAAATGAGAGGCGTGGAGATAAGCATTATCATGGGAAGACATGCAGTTCAGAAGGGAGGTTTTGTGAGGGATAACTTGTCTCTTTGTGCATCTCTCTTTGAATTCTAACACTGGCAATGAGAATGGCTTCACAAGTTTCACTGCTTGTTTTTTCCACTCTTAAATACAAATAACGTTCCAAAGGAAGTACTCAGATTGTGATACCCTGTTTAGTGTGCCTTTTGTACTTTTTTGTCCTTGCACATTCTCTTCCCTCTGCTAGGCATCTCTTTCTCCCTGTTTTCTGCCTGTCCATCCTGCACAACCCAAAATCCAAAATCATCTCTTCTAAGTAGGCTCCCTGGATTTCCCATGAGTTTAACACCTTCCCCTATCTGTGTGCAAAATAACAGCAGGGACCATTTTTAGTGCCTAATGTGGTCTACCACTTTACATATATTATCTCTGTACTCATTTGGCAGGTAAGGAAACTGAGGCTCAGTTTGTCCAAGACCATGAAGCCAATAAGTTGAAAAACCAGATTTGGAATCTCTCTCAGACTCCAAAATCCATTACTACACAACAGGCAGTTTCCTTTTTCCCAAACTTACCCTTTCCAGGAGCGGAAGTTGAGTGTATTTCCCTTTCCATCTCTGAGTATCTAGATTGTTAGCTCCTCTAGGGCACCCCTGAGTCTTAAGTTGTATTCCCTGTGCCTGGTACACAGTAAATGATAAATAAATGGTTAAATGAATCAATGTGTGTGTTGGGTGAGGAGTTTATCCCTTTACATTGCTTTACTAGTTGATTGAGCCCTGCTTATGATAAAATCACAATAAATGTATATCCCAAGTAATTTTCGCCCCCACCCCCAAATGGAAAATTAGAGAAATTTCTCAGCCAGCAGATCTATATACAACCCACCACTTCTCCAATTTTAACATAATACAAATCTCCCGGGAGTTTTGGTGAAGTGCAGATTCTGACTCAAAAGTGCTGGGGTGGAGCCTAAGGGTCTGTATTTCTGAAATGCTCCCAGGTGATGCTTCTGGTTTGAAAATGCCATCAGAGAGCCATTTGGGTCTGAACACATCAGCACAGCAGCCAATGTACTTTTGTTACCTTTGACTGGTAACAAGTAATTAAACCTGTCTCCTGTATTGATCTTCTACCAAAGAAGATTTTAAAATCTCATGTGATGTTCAATAGTTTAGCAAAATATTTAAGTCATGCTTCGAACTATAAACATTTGGCAGCATGCACATGTCTGTGCCTACAGCTTTGGTTCAATCACACCCTCTCAATACTTCACAAGTAAATGAGGGAGAGGAGACACTGGAAGATTCCATTCCAGTGACAAGCGGATCAAGGGAGTGGGAACCCGTCGGGGGAGGAGCAGCAGAAGGTCATTCACAGAAGGGTGTTTCCAACAAGTCTTTATGTTTCAGGACAGCACTGGAGTCTGGGAACAAGCCTTCATCGCATTCCTATTGGGAAGGGCCCTACCTTTCCACACTTGCCACCCCACCCCCACCCCCATGGTTGCTTTCCGCATTCCTGACTGATCTTCTCGTTCCTGGTAAATAGTTGATGATGGCTTATTGATCTCAAGCCCTTTGCACCTCACACAGTCCCTTTACTGGCAAGTCTTTAGAGGTCAAGCATCTTCAGTCCAAGACGTTTGGAAGAAAAACACCCTCTTTTCTGTTCCTTTTCCAGATGTCCCTGGGCCAACTGCAGTCAGCAAAAGGTGTGGCATGTTTGAGATGCAAGGGGACGTGTGCGGGCTTCGAGCCACATTCATGGAGGTAACAGATTTTTGTCAGAAAGGACTCGGCCTGCCTTAATTTCTTGGCTGTCCTCTCTGGGAACCCTGGTTGCTTTCTCTGTGGGGACTGTTTCAGATGCATGTGTTGCTGGGAGGAATGGCTGGAGAATGAAGGCATTCCTGCTTGGCCCGATTCAGAATCATGAACAACGTCCTTGGGGTGGTGGAGGTGTGGGGGAGCAGAGATCTAAAGCAGGAGCTTAGTGCTTCATAAACCACTTCAAGGGGGCGACTACCAAGCCCAGTCCAGCAAGAATGGCTTTGGGAAGCTGAGGGCAGGGGTGAGCTGGTGCCTGGCACATTTAGGGTATGTCCTGGGGTTTGGTGAATGGGGTTGATCTCCCCTCACCACACCATCATCCCTCTTGGTGGGTTTCAGTTTAGAGTAGCCCCTGGGACAGAAATAGAGCTCATCCTATCCACGGTATTTTTACAACCAGGATCTGGTATTCATGTCTTCGTGGGAAGGCCACAAGATCCAGCTGGACTTGGATTTGCAGTTTCCCTTTCTGTATTTTCACTGCAGATTCGGACAAGGGTGAGGCTGCCACATTACACAACTTTCTGGCAATACTCACCATTAGTATCTAAGTGAATGGTACCCCCTGGAGTCATACAGGGCACATTCCAGGAGACTGTCCTACAGCCCTGGGAGAGGGAACCTAAGCTCTGTGGAGCACAATAGTGAAGGAGGAGTTTTTGTCATCACTACTGTAGTGATGCCTTGGGCACTCAATGGGGGAACAAAGTTTGGGAGGTGTTTTCTCAGCTATGCTGACTTCCATTGTGAGATGGCAATTACAAAAATAACTACTTGGGGATTAACTGAGTGAAACCTTTTATATTTCAATGTTGAAATAACACTAAGCAGTGGATATTGGTATCTCCATCTTGTCGGTCAGGACACTGAAGGCAGGTGATGGGGAGACAGCTATTAAATGGAAGGATTTGAACTCAGATCTGCATGAAACCCAATCCCACACTTCTAACCAGCCTTCAGTACTGTGGGCTATGAGCTTTCAAAGCAGAAAACCGCTCCTTGACTCCACTCCCTGACAGTTCTCGACCTCAGAAGAGCTCACATCATCTTCTGAATGCAAGCCACCTTCAAGGTCATCCAATTCAGGCTTCTATTCCCTACAAAAATTCCTTCTACAACTAAAACACTTCTAGGACGGGGAACTCCCCATACTTCTAATTTGGCCACTTGAGCTCTTTCTGGCCTTGAAGAAAGTCAACTTTCCTGTCATTTCAACCCCATTGGTCCTGAATTTTCCATTAGCGTCTCAGGACAGTGTTGATTCCTCTTCAGCTCTTTGAAGACAGCTAGGATGTCTCCTTTTAGAGTTCTTGGTACAGGGGAACATGTTCCATAAATGCACCCACTGAATCGGTTCAGTCATGTTTTCACTCCTCTCAAGGATCACAGTCCCAGGTTGCCTGCTGTCCAACATCTTAAAATGGCTATTTAATTTATTTTGTCTGGTTTTTCTGGTTGTTTATGGAGAGAGGATATTCCAGACCCTGTTCCTCATGACTGGAAGCAGACATCTCTTACCACTGTTTTAATCTCTACAGTTCTTTATCATCCTATAAATGATTTGAACATCAAGTGAAATTGTCTTTGAGAAATATAGATGATAGCTTGTAGGTCCTGGATAGCAAGTGTCATCTTTGTTTGAACAATCCTAGAAGAGTCTTAAATTTGATCCATATATTGAAGCATTAACATCACAGAAGCTTAGCAGGGGACTCTGTTAAACCTTTCTTATGCTCCAGGTTTTAGACTCTCAATGGTTTGAAAGATATGTAAATGACCAAAGTGCCAAACAACATAGTTTAATAGAAAAACCCCTTAACTAATCCTCACAGGACTGAATTCAATTCCAGGGTGTTGATGACAGATTGCAGAAATAGCCATTTTAATACCATTGAGGATCCTTTAAGGTACATCTGTGTCCTCTACAATCTGGGCACCTGGGAAAAATGGGAGCGGGAGGGGGTCCACCTTGTATATAAAGTCCCACCAACAGACCTGGCAACATGAAGAGCATGAATAAAAGGAGAAATAATGCTGACACACTCACAAAGAGCATCAATATTTGTTAACATTTTTGTTTTAAAATGTTTTTCAGCTGGGCTCGGTGGCTCAGCCTGTAATCCCGCGCCTTTGGGAGGCTGAGGTGAGTGGATTGCCTGAGCCCGCAGGTTTGAGACCCGCCCAGGCAACTTGGCGAGACCTCATCTCCACAATAAATCAAAAATTAGCCAGGTGTGGTAGCGTGGGACTGTAGTTCTAGCTACTCGGAAGGCTGAGGCGGAAGGATTGCCAGAGCCCAGCAGGTCAAGGCTGCGGTGGCTGGGAGCGGCCACTACACTCCAGTCTGAATGACGGAGTGAGACTCCAACTCAAATAAATAAATAAATAAATAAAAGTAAAATAAAATGTTTTTCATCCCCAGGATCTCTAGTAGCATCCTCAGATTCCACCTTAACTGAAAAAGCAAAAGGCAGCTTCCTTATCCAGTTCTATTTATGAATGGTATTGGGAGGTCAGATGATAGCTTGTAGGTCCTGTATAGCAAGTATCATCTTTGTTTGAACAATCCTAGAAGAGTCTTAAATTTGATCCATATATTGAAGCATTAACATCAGTCAGATGGAACATGGAACATCAGTCAGACAATCAGATGGAACATGGAAGACTTAGAATCGGGGCTCTTCTGATCTTCCACCCTACGATCTCCTTCACTTCTCTTCCACTTCCAGTTCTGCTGTTGCCAGTCCCCATGTGTAAACCACTGGCACTGTCTATTGTCTGTCTTTTTAGAGAAGCAGTCTCCTCCTGCCTGGCTCCAGAAAGGGATAGACAGAAGAACAATATTAACTGTGGCTTGAATGCTCCAATTCTGCAAAACAAGCAACCCTTTCTTATGAGAAGGAAAAGATGTTTCATGTTGCCTACAATACTCTTAGGGTCATTTTCTCTTTCATCCTGCTGGATTGTATTCTTGAGATGGTCGATATGAACAGTTCTCAAATTGCAGCCTACTGAATGTGAATTTGGACTGCAAGCTTCTCAAATAGCATTTGAAATGCCACAGTGCACATCAATGTATTAAAGCCAAGAAGCCCTGGCACTAAAGACAGGTGTTTGACCTTTTTTAACTCACTGTTTTCCAAATTCATGACCACTGAGTACTGAGTCTTTTTCTAAGTATCGCCTAGTAACCTCCTGGGAACTGGTCCAGGCCAGCAGAAATACCCCAGACCTTATGCAACTCTCTTACAGCCCAAACCCATTCTACTTTATGTTATAGTTTCCATCTGATTTTCTCTACCTCTCCCACCCCAACTGTAAGTTCCTTGAAGACTGTAACAGGGTTTCATTCTCTTTATATTCAATGAAGCTTTCCAAGCCTCAGCACAGTCAGCATTTTAGGCCTTATATTTATTGTGGGGGTTGTCCTGTACAATGGGGAATGTTTTGTACCATTCCTGGTCTCTTCCCACTATGTGCCAGTAGCATCCCCTCCCCCACTGTGACAGTCAAATAAATGTCTCCAGACATTGCTAAATGCCCCTGGGGACAGAACTGATCTTAGTTGAGGGCCACTCTTGGAGACCATCAAGACATAACCTTGCTAGCCCCACAATCAAGAGCTGTGATACACAATCAAATGTATTCATCTCCTGAGTATGGGAGAAAACAGGAGGGTTCCTTGGGGCTTGTCAGTCATGCAGCTACAGTGAAGTCTCCCTTACTTAGGCCTTCTCCATCCCTGTGGTTGGTCTTGATATTGCTCACTTTACTTAACAGGCTCTTAAATTGCATGTAGAAGAGCATCTGAGACATAGCACAGCCTGCCAGAAAGGGAAGAGAGCAATTTTCCTCTCATACTCGGGATTTCTAAACCTTAACAACTTGACACAAAGCAGTCACACACTTTTTTTTTAATTGTCAAAGAGAAGCGTGGGGCTTTCAAGTGAATTTGAACCTTCACCGGGATACATTTTCTTCTCCCAGCCTGAGAAAGCCTTCCCAGTGAGCATCAATCTTGCCAGCCAAAGGAGTTTTCTCAACTCAGTCCCTTCTCCTGGGTCCTGTCCACTTGTTTCTTCAAAAAAATCTTGGCCGGACACAGTGGTTTACTCCTATAATCTCAGTGCATTGGGAGGTGGAGGCAAGAGGGTTGCCTGAGCACAGGGATTTAAGACCAGCCTGGGCAACTTGGCAAAACCTAGTCTCTACAATAAAAAATTTTAAAAAATTAGCCAGGCATGCTGGAGTGTACTTATAGTTCCAGCTACTTGGAAGGCTGAGGTGGAAGGATCGTCTGAGTTCAGAAGGTCAAGGCCACAGTAGCTGTGATGGTGCAACTGCACTCTGGACGACAGAGTAGACTCTGACTCAAAAAAAAGAAAGAAAGAAACGAAAAAAATCTCCACTGTATTTTAACTTCAGTGTGCAGGCTGTTTTGTTCTGAGTCTTATGAATCTTGGGAAACAATTTGGATAATTCTTTAGAGCAGGAGTTAGCAGACTATTTTTTGTAAACAGCCAAAAGAGAGTAAGTAAAAATTTTAGGCTTTGTGGTCAAGATCATCTCTGAAATTGTAGCTCCAACTCAACCACAGATAATGTGTAAACACAGCCTGGCTATGTTTCAATAAAACTTTATTTACAAAGTGAGACTGTGGGCCAGTTTCAGGCTATGGGCCGCACAGACTTTAAAGTATCTCTATTGAGCAAACCAACCTTTGCCATGGCAGCCACCAGGAGGCAAAACGTACTATTTTCTTTTTGCCAACAAAATCCGCATCCTACATTCTCCACAGATAGACAGACTAACAGAAGGACTTTGTTTCCCAAAAGTCGTTCCCAATCCCAAAGGCCTTTTTGTCTCAGGTTACCATTTGTCTGCTGCTAACCTTTCCAAGTTACTAAAGTTAAACTTTGAGCTTGCTTTCAAAAGGGTACAATGCTGCCAGCTGGAGGGTGATCTCACATGTCTCCCCTCCCCCTGCACCTCCCCAGGAAAATATGCAAGTCCTGCAAATGCAGCCAAGAGGACCACTGCCTAAGCTCCGACCTAGAAGATGATCGGAAAATTGGCCGCTTGCTGATGGACTCCAAGTATTCCACCCTCACTGCCCGGGTGAAAGGCGGGGACGGCATTCGGATTTACAAGAGGAACCGGATGATCATGACCAACCCCATTGCCACTGGGAAAGATCCCACCTTTGACACCATCACCTATGAGTGGGCTCCCCCTGGGGTCACGCAGAAACTGGTAAGACAGCTACTTCCAACCAAGTGGTTGTTTTCCTACCCTTGTAAATATTAGCCATGTCAGGGATTCCTGAGTTTCAAAGGCAGGGTAGCAAGAAGTCAAGGTCACAAAAATGGTAGAAATGGCTGTGGTTTCAGCCTTACTCCTATATCATGCAATGTTGAAATGACTCTCTGGACTTCAGTTTTCTTCATGCATGAAATGGGTAGAGGTGTTCAAATGAACTTAAATGGGCCTTCCAGCACTAGTACTGGAGTATTCATTGTTCTCTTTGACTTTCTCACTGCTGAACACTCCTGTTTATCGTTCAAAATTCTCAGTGTTTCTCTCCCTCTGCAAGATGATCATTTCCTCTCAATGTAGCCTGGATATGCCCTTTGCATGCCTGGAGGTGAGCAGAAAAACAGTCTTCTCCTTTCCCTAAAACTGAAGCCTCTTGGTCTTAGAAGGGAGAACAAAACCGTTTGTTTGTTTGTTTGTTTGTTTGCTTGTTTGTGAGGTGGAGTCTCACTCCGTTGCCCAGACTGGAGTGCAGGTGTCACGCTCCCAGTCACCACAGCCTCGACCTGCTGGGCTCCGGCGATCCTTCCGCCTCAGCCTTCCAAGTAACCGGAACTACAGGAGTGTGCTACCACGCCCGGCTAATTTTTTTATTTATTGTAGAGATGAGGTCTCGCCAAGTTGCCCAGGCAGGTCTTGAATCCGCAGGCTCAGGCAATTCACTCACCTTGGCCTCCCAATGTGCAGGATTACAGACTGAGCCACCGATCCCGGCTAACAAAACCATTTTTAAACAACCCTGAAGAAGGGGCACCCAAAGAAGTCTTGGGGAAATAGTCACCCTGAGGAGGGTAGAAAGGTCCAGAGAGAGCAAATGACAAGCATCAGCTTATACTCTGGCTGTTCACTAGAATCCCTTGGGAACCTGTACAGGGTCCCCATGCCTATGTCCCTCCCCAGACCACTGAATCAGAAGCTCCAGATTCAGAATCCAAATCTCTGTATGCAAACATTTTAAATGACTCCCCATGCAACTCCCCATGCAGCCACCTTCAACATCCAGTGCGTGCTAGACCAGGACTCTTCAAATCTCAGCATACATTAAACAGCTGGGGAGGCTCATTAAAATGCATCCAGTAAGTTTAGGACCATCCGGAGATTCTGTACTCCTGGCAAACCCCCAGGTGACGCTGCTGCCGCTGGTCCCCAGACCACACTTGGAGTAACTAAGGACTAGATGATTTCTAAAAGTTAATGCAATTTTTAAAGGTGCGACAATTTTAGAAATGCAGGCCTGGCATTTAATTAAATCTTTCCTGAAAGAAAAGGAGAGTCTTTGGAGTCCTCCATGGCCTGTCCCTGCAGGCTCCTCCCATGGCTGCTATTCCTCCCCTCTCGCCTTCAATACCTCACAACATGCTGACTTCTTCCTTCCAGTTCTAGAACACACCACGTTCTTGCCCTCCTCAGGGCCTTGGCACCTGCTGCTCCCACTACTTGAGACATTCTTTTCCTGCTCTTTGCATGATGGGGCTCTTCTCAAACAATTCTTCCCTGAATTCTCAGTTTACAATAGATGTGATCCATCTTCCTACCACATTGTCTTCTCTCTTTCAGCTTCTTTTGAAGTTGTTATTGCAAGTTATACTTATTTTATGCACCTCTGTGCTTAGCTCCCATCTCTTCTCCACACTGGAGTGAAGCAAAGCCCATGAAGGCAGACAACCTCTCTTTCCTGTATATTGTGGCATGCCAGCACCCAGCACAATGCAGGACACAGAGCAGGCATGATGAGTATTGGTACAATGTCACCTTCCAGGCCAGAGATATTCCAAGTGTGGACTGGAATCATTTCACAAGGTCCTTGTGACTGGTGCACAATGAGAAGAATACAGAAATTGAGAATAATTGTTGGGAAAATAGGCCGGGCACGGTGGCTCATGTCTATAATCCCAGCACTTTGAGAGGTCGAGGTAGGAGGATCACTTGAGCCAAGGAGCTGGAGGCCAGCCTAGACAACATAACAAGACCTTGTCTCTACATAAAGTACAAAAATCAGTGACGCATGGTGGCACATGCCTGTAGGCCCAGCTACTCAGGAGTCTGAGGTAGAAGGATCACTTGAGTACATGAGTTCAAGGCTGCAGTAAGCTAAATGATTGTGCCATTGAACTTTAGCAAGGGCAACAGAGTGAGACCCTGTCTCAATAAATAAATAAATATTGGGAAAATGTAGCAATTTGACATCCAACTGTGTGATGAGATGAGAACTCATCTCATTGAACAGAATTCCACTATGGTCAGACCGACATGGAAATCTCATGGGTCATATGCTACCTTCTAATCACATGAGTGAGACCACAAATCCTTCTGCAATAAGTGAAAAAGACAAAAATTTTGATCCTTCACCATAGAGCTTGAGAAGCGCAGTTCTAAGCTGCCACTTAAGGGGATCCGGGGGAGGAAGCCTTTCCAGATAAATTGAAAAAAGATTAAGATTCTTTTTGTCTTAATCTGTGCTTTTGGTTTGGCATAAAGCACATTTTAAAAGAATACTTCAGCATTTACGAGCTCAAACACCCTGTGAGGCAGGAATTGTTTTACATGTAAGTAAACACAGAATGGTCCATTGACCTCCCCAAGTTTTCAGGGAGAGGCAGGGGCAGACCCCAGATCACAGAATGATGGCAAAACCAGGACTTGCCAGGTGACTGAGAACATGGGTCTGCCGGGTCTGGGTAGGCTATCAAGTGGGTCTTCAGGATGTTGGTGGCAACTAAAAGAAGCTGCTCATAAAAGAGCTGACTGTGGGCATCAGGAGCTGGCCAGTGAAAACCCCACATGCTCCGACCCCACCTAGTCAGGGGAAGGCATCATCAGGCAATGATGAATGCTGGCTCATAAAACCACACAGCTGTAAAGAGCCCCTGTGTCTGCTCTGCATCTGGGATGCCAGGACGAGTCAGATTTCTGAGATTGGACAATTCTCCCTTCCTGCTCACCCTCCCTTCTTTTTTTTAATTACCAACTGATTAGGACTGATTATATTTTGGGAATGGGACTGAACCTTGCTTTCTGTCATCCTTCCTAGGCAGAATAAAAGCAAGAGTAATTCTTAAGCCTTTAAAGACTGATAACACCAACCCTAATTGCTAATATTTATTATTTACTGTGTGCCAGCCAGTCTGCTAACAGCTGTCTGTGCACAATCTCATCTAATTTCCCAACACTGTTAGGAATATACTATTATTACCCTCATTTAGAAAGGACGAGATGGAGGCTCAGAGAGATGATGCAACTAGCCAAATGTCCCACAGCTGATTTAAGTGGCAGAGTCGGGTCTTGAAGTCCGGCCACCTCGATTCTAAGGCTTAGGCTCTTCCCCACCAGGCCAGGCCAGCTAGCAGGTGGGAAGGGAGGCAAAAAGGAGAGGCTATCAAAAACAGGGTGGAGTTTGAATGGTTCCTTGAAAGCTAGCCAGGATCTGAGGGAGACAAGAGAAAGAAGACGAAGGGAACCAGCATTCATTGAGCATTTTGTGTATGTTCCTCAACATCTCACTACTCCCTACATGCTGAGTATGTTACAGCCCCATTTTACAGAGGAGCAAACAGAGGCCTGTGAGGACCCAATGCAGGACTGGCATTCCCTCAAAGCTCACCTTTTACTCTCATATCCATGGCAGGCATTGCTGATCAGTACTATTTCCCGTTGAGCCCTCATCAGACCTCAGGATCCTTCTTAACAAATCACTCGAGGTCGCCACTATTGAATGGGGTTGACATGTGAGATGAAGCCTATTCACTGTCCTTGGCTGACAGCAGGAGAAGAATCAGGAGGAGAAGAATCAGAACTGGGTTTTCTGATTCTAAAACCCATGTGTGTGCTACTGCCCAACCCAGAGCATAAGAGCACCTTTCCTTCCACTTTTCTCTCTGCATTTTTTTATTTCTTTCCTACTACAGATTCTGAGAACCTCTCCACCCAAGGTGTCCCAGCCAGACTGCAGAGCCCCAAATAACTCAGAAAGGTCCTCAGGAAAAACTTAAAACCAAAACCAATCTTTCCAACTGATCTGAGGAAATGCCTCTTGCTAAAGGCTATGGGAACATGACCTTAGTCAGCTTCCTGAAGAGACACCTGGAAGAGTCTCTTTTGGAGTCAGATCAGCACCAGGTGGTTGACTCAGGTCCAAACCTCTGTCCCTGTCTCTCCTTCCCAAGTACATGCCAGTCGATAGGGCTGTGTTGAGTGGGATTCGAAGACTCTAATCAGGTTGATTAGCAATATCTGTCATGGGTATGTCAATAAGAAGCAGAGATTAAGGAGTCTCAGGCTAGCCAGACCAGACCAGGAGTCACAAAGCACACACTGGTGGCATCAGGACGCAGTAGCTTTGACAATGCAAAGACAGAGAACTGGTGCCCAGCTGGGGCTTGAGCCACTCCAGGAGTGCTGGGTCCCTGGGAAGGAAGACTCCCTTTCTCCGGGGCCCCGGCCCAGAACCCCTGCAGCCACAGTCCCCATAGCCAGCACAGATATCTGAAAGGACACTGTGAATGCAGGGATCAACAAGCAGCTGGCTGGTGAGGCCACTGTCCCAAGATCCTTGCCATGGATTTATTTGTAAAGTAGGGCAGGGAGGAGTACAGGCCTTAGAAGGTCAAAGAAACAGACACATCTAGGGAATGGGGGATCCTGGCACCAGGTGATGTTCCCATGGCACACTCACCCTGACTAATGACAAAGGGAAGCACCCCCAGAAATCGGGGGACATTTTTCCTTTTTGAAAACCATCTATCTTCCAGTGAGGTTGCAGAGAAGGGCTTGAGACCCAAGCCACTGAGTTCAAAGCTGAATCTATTACTTACTTGTAGTGTGACCTTAGCAAGGTTCTTTAATCACTCTGTGTTGGGTAACATTAGCACCTTCCTCCTAGGATTGTGTGTGAAGCACTTGGAAAAGTGCCTGGATCATGGTAAGTGCTTCCTTAAGGGCTA